AGGGCCAGCCCGCAGTCCGCCCGGCGCGATCAACTCGACGGAGTGAACACGCGCGGCGCCTCCCTGGCCCACGTGCATTGAGTCAGCTGCGCGCGTGACAGCGAGCCGGCGTCCGCGTGTCTGGTGGTCTGACGCATGGCGCGGCGACCCCCATTGGCGGAATCTGCCCTGACGACCAGCGGCGCTTCTGATTGGACATTTTGGTTGGACCCGGTGTAAATAAAAGAAGCCCTGCGGCGCGTCGCGATCGGAGGTCCTAGGAGAGGAGTCCCGTGTCGGAGAGCCGACATGTGTGTGAGTCGGCGGTCTTAGGCGAAAAGCTGACCTATGTGTTAGAGAGGAGAGCTCGGCTCTTCGAGTCTCTGTCGGCCCCAGTGCCGAAATTGTAACGCCTCTGTATATATGCTGTACATAAACCTTGTTTAACTCACCGTCGTCTCGTCCGCTCGTCTTATCAGCTCTGCGCAGAAGCAGTCGCGGGCTGAGAAACATACGCTACCAAACGGCTGGTGACCTTCCCGGCGGAGTTGGAAGCAGTGACGCCATCGGGACCGTGTTGGCGTCGCCGTCTTTCGCAACAGTGGTGGCTTCGGCGGGATCGGTCCGTCGTTCGCAACAGTGGAGGTCAGCGGTAGGATTTCGGAGGTGGCTTCGCAACAGAGTGCATTTTTGGCACCAACAGCCGACGATGTTTCAAATGCTTTTTTGTCTGTGAAAAACAGCACTTTATGTGACGCATATTATATACAGATTAAGCCTATAAAACACGTGTTAGATATTATTGATGGCTTATTCGAGAATATCTTTCATCTTGCATTTTCGAGCGAAATTCTCCTCCAAAAGTTGCAAGAGGCAAAAGCGGTTGTGCTGTACAAAGAAGGATATGATTGATGTGATTGATGTGTGGGGTTTAACAACCCAAAACCACCATATGATTATGAAAGACGCCGTAGTGGAGGACTCCGGAAATTTTGACCACCTGGGGCTCTTTAACGTGCACTCAAATCTGAGCACATGGGCCTACAACATTTCCGCGTACAAAGGAGGATATAAAAATTCACTTGACAATTACCGGCCAATACCTATACTTCCAGTGATCTCAAAGGGACTAGAAAAACTATTTAAAAAGCGCATGGTTTCTTTCCTCTAGATAAATACTACTGAACATGCTCCTTTATAGCAAAAGGAATTCATATTAAGTGGTCTTGAAAGTAAACTCCACACTTCAGGCATCTTTGAAGAGCAATCGAAAGCGTTTGACACAATAAATGATAATGTGCTACTAAAGATACGTGAACACTATGGCTTTAAAGGTGTCTTCTTAATACTCATTACATCACACCTAATGTATCGGCAGCAGAAGATAGTCTTAAGCAATAGTGCCTGCAATTTAATAAAAATTTCATTGGGTGTTCCACAAGGTAGCATAATAGGGTCTTTGCTTTTTTTGTATATATATAAATGATATTGTAAAAATTGACCCGTCTGTAAAATTTATTATATACATTGATGATACAACCTTGCTCCTTACTGCTGAAAATTATAAACAGATAATTATTGACACAGTCGAGCAACTGGCGAAGTTGGCCACGTAGACAAGCATTAACTGTTTGAAATTAAACACATCAAAAATAAAAGCTGTATATTTCAAGCCAAAAATAAACAAAGCCTTTTTCATGTACCATTAAAATTTGGAAGTTCAGAACTTCAGATACTACTGTGTATTAGGTGTCTGGGAATAATTTTCGATGAACGCATGTCTTGAAACGCACATACTGAAAAGCTATCTGTCACTTTATCAAGCATTTCAGGCATGTTATTATGGGTGCATTTCTCGTTACCTAAGGCAGTGAAAGTTCTCATCTATATATCCTTGTTTTTATCTCATGTTAACTACTGTCATCTGGTTCAGGGTACGACCCCGTTAACGAAAGTTCAGAAATTACACGTCATGTAGAAAAGGGCTTTTTGTGCCATTGTAAAAGTTTATTATTGCTGTCACACCACTCCCATATTTCAGGACATGAACCTACTAACTCTACCAGAATACTACCCCGCAACACTTGTGAAACGCTACCGCCGTGGATTCAAATGCGACCACTTTTTTAGGAATCATTGCCATCCTCAAGCACCGCAAAGTTGTTCACAACACCCATTTCAATCACACATGGTATTCCATGCACGCGCACCAGCTATAACAAATAAATGCTTTGCTTTTTCTTGTCGTTTCATTTAAATGTCGTATCTGCCATCTGAGTGAAATCGCGCATGTTTTTTTTTCCTTTCAAACATTTTCTCTCTCTTATCACATCGGCACATGCCCAATCCGACTAAGGGGCAAATCTAGTAGTACTTATATCAGTACACTGTATTAATGATTTTTCGTATGTGTAAGAAAGAATTACAATTTCTATTTTTTTATGTTTCACCTTTTGAGTTTATCATTTCAAATTCTTATGCTTTATTTCACTTGCATAGACTGCCGCTAAACTGCTTGCTCAATATGTACATTTTCATTGCAATAAAACTGTTGTCTATGCCGCGCATTTGTAAAGGGTCGCTGTCCCAGTCAAGCCCCTAAAAGGCTTTTGACCACCGTCTTGAGCATCTCAAATGTTGAAATAAAATAATGTTTCAAAGCACCAGAGGCGTTATTCGAAGGACCACATGTTTGGTCCCTGTGGGCGGCAAGTTACCTTATGGTCCACTTTTCTTCAGGTTTACATTACAATTACTTCAAGTAACGTCCCTACTCTTTCCTTGGCATTATTGTCCATTAGTTCATAATGTAAAATATAAGCTAAAGCCTACTGCGCATTATTCAGGATTTATTTTTCCTACTGTTATAGCCAGCAACCATCTGTCACATTTACTCGGCACACTATTAAAAATATATCACCTAGAATTGTTACATTTTAACCATGAGTGCGTGGGTAGTTCTGCTAAATTATCGAATTCCGTAGAAAAAAAACTATAGCCAACACTGCATTCTAACTTTCTTGTTCGAAGAACAATACCCGATTCCATTTAGGTGTGACAGAACGCCAGTTTTACTTAAAAAGGTTAATTCAATACTCACTTAGCACACACAGCTCACCGCATTTTCCTTGTTTGTTTGAATCAATATTTTTCATGATGCTTCAGCCAAAAGCAACTGAAGTCGGGCAGTCTTGTTGCACTATCTCTTTTTCTACTAGGACCGACCGGCAAAGTTAACTTTATGAAACAAGTGATGCATAATACATTCAGTTTCAGTTTAGTTTATTTCAGTTACTAGTACAGAAAAAGGAACAGTATACAAAGTATATATACAGGAGGAGGTCCGAAAGCACAAGGCTGCAGGGGGACCTCCTGTTCGAAATGGGATTACAAAATTTACTCAATTAGCAGTAGCAGTGAAAACAGAGAGATGAGTAAATTGATAAAACCAACACTAACTAAGAAACAAGTAAAAAGAAGAGTGGAATAAACAATATAACAAGATAAAAACATCTAGTAGTTTATCAAGTACGAATACAATTGTTTTTAAATGTGCCAATAGTCGAGCATTGCTTGATGTGAGATGGCAATGAATTCCATAATGATAATGCTGAGAAATATGCAGTGTGGCGACCAAAATTAGTGCGGATAGTAGGAAGTAGAAAATTTCCATTTGAAGTGAATCTAGTACGGTTCAAGTTGGACAAAGCATTAGGATAAAAGACGCTTGATGGGACAAGATGGTGCAAGGATTTGAACAGCATGATAATGAGGTGATATTTAAATAAACTAACAGTAGAAAATTTCGAAGTTACAAAGTAATGATGATGCACTAGAACGATATAAACTGAAAGTCATTAGTCTGATGGCTTGGTTTTGAATGTGCTGAATGGGAGATAAGTGGGTGAGGTATGTATTTCCCCAAGTGGTGATGCAATAATTAATATGGCTGTGAATAAAAGCATAATATAACTTGATTAGAGTTGAAATGTTAAAGTAGTAACGTGCTCTGATTAGAATCCTGACACCAAATGCTAGTTTTTTGCACAAATGAATAACATGATTAGAGTATTTTAGGTTGCTATCGAGAACGATTCCTAAGAAAGAGCATTCATTGTCAGGGTTAATGAGTGAGCCATTTAGTTTAATAGAAATTTGGGAGGGAAGAACTTTGTTAGCTGAGTGGAATATCATGAACTTAGTTTTCTTAGGGTTAATGCTGAGGGAATTCGTGAGACACCAGCTTAAGATGTTATTTAGATCTTTTTGTAATTTTAGCGGTAAAGAGTCAATTGATTTACCAGTGGCAACTATTGTAGTGTCATCGGCATAAAGAAAAGGCAGAGAGTTAGTAACTGAGAGGGGAAGGTCATTCATGTAAATTAAAAATAAAAGCGGGCCAAGAATGGACCCTTGAGGAACACCCTGATTAGTAGTAAGAAAATCTGATAAAGTAGAGCGAACATAAACAGCCTGCTGTCTATTACAGAGGTAACTTTTAATGAGTGTAAGGGCAGGTCCAACAATACCAATGGCCGTGAGTTTGGTTTCCAGGATGCTGTGATTAAGTGAGTCGAAAGCTTTGGTTAGGTCAATGAACAATGCTCCAGCTAATTCACCAGAATCAATAGCTTTTTTAATCTTATCAGTGAAAGTTAACAATGCAAGATTAGTCGAGAAAGCAGGTCGAAAACACATTCAACACATTCAAAATATTTCTATGTGTTGCTTAAGATCCGAAATTGAAAAGTACACAGCAGATATCTTTTCAAAGGTTTACTACTAGACACATTCGTGTTTTGCGTATTTTTCCAATGCGATACTATATTATATACTAATATTGTCGACCCCTTCGTAGTCGAGAAGCTTCTTTGGCTTGGAAGTACTTCTGACTCACTACTGTGAAGACTATGGCTACTCTCATTTTTGAGGCAGCGGTTCAAGGGAGAATAGTCATTCAAAAAATGCTGAAGATCACTGAGAAAACTCAACACTGATTAATTTCATAATAACCATGAACATTTCACATGAGAGAAACATTTATTCAATAAAAAAATTCATTGTAAGTATCACATTTGCTGTTTTCATTGAGTGCATTCACTTTTCCTTATTAAAGCACAAAGCAACCCTGATTTTAGGTTTTCTTTAAGTGACACCCAAATGAGCTTTCTAATTGACACAACTACAAAACGTTTCCAGTATTTCGATATACTATAGGTTCACCAGTGCTAAATGTAATATATCACTAACCAGCCATAAATCCGATGAACCTGCTTTTTCAGTGTCCATGGTATTTACTGCTTACATTGCTAGTTACACTTCAGAGAAAGTGCTTGTTGCATTTTCGTTTCTTAATAAATATCCTATTAGTGTCCTCATAACTTATGTGCTGTAAGAAGAAAGTTATTAGGGCAGACTGAAAAATGTCATTTCGAACTGCAATTTCAAAGCCATATTACGTTTGCGTTACGATAGCGAAAATTTTGTGAAAGACTTTAGCATGGAAAAATTATACTGTTCGTAAGATTTGGCACCATCACATCATCGGTAACTACCTACACACACAACACAATAGTTAAAACTCACAAGATACCGTCATATTAACAGAGTCTATATAACATCGAGATCAGACCTTTTACAGGTAACATACCATTTTTCGCATGTCAACTATTTTCTGAGCACCCTCAACCCGCAAAACAAACCATGAAAAAGAAATCTGCACATCAGCATGAGCCTGTTCATGTGATTACCATAGTATGAACAGGAGGTAACTCATGTGAATAAGCAGTATAGTATCAAATTACATTCTGTACCATCAGCAGACAAAGGATAATGAACCATCCACCACACCAACTGCACTCGACTAAGTACAGGTCGCATACCTACTCTTCAACTGCTATAACTCACTGCATGAGATACCCATACACTCAAAGATTAAAGCATGCTACAAATCATACATAATTGTGATATTGAGATTATTGCTGGAAATTTTCTCTCACTCACTTTCATTATTTTCTGATTATGTTGTACCATCCAGCTTGATGTTGGTTCGAAGGATGTGCATAAGAGAGCTCAAACCTTGTGCGATAAGGGAAAATGAGACTTTTCAGCTTGTCAAATTTTTAAATAGCCGATGAAGTGTATCTCACTTCTGCAGTGAAATACCACTGGCACATAACTAAATTTTCGCATTATTATCGAACAAACAGAAATACATGACAAACCAAGATCGTGTCTGCATAGAATTGCACCTTCTTATTGCATAACAAAGTATAACACGCCAAGAGCTGAAGTGCTGGCTCTGCGGACATTTTAGCCCTATTGAGACTGCAAATAACGAATAGCAATGAAAATTAGTTGTACTACCAAAAGCACATTTCAAACAGTAACCAACATATTAAATGAAAGAAAAAGCTGCATATTTAGTTTTCTCGAATCAAAAATGAGTGCATGGAGGAGTCCAGCCTAGCAAAAAAGCAATGCACAGAAGAGATAAAGCAATACCCGTTCATTTTAGACATAGCAAACTGAGTAATTAAAACAGAAGAACGCTCAAAAAAAGCAAAGGTACTACAGTGCTTGTAAGCAGGACGCAAATTTAGTAAACTGAAATATACACTTCATTGCACAAAATAAATAAAATGCTACTCCATTGCTATAAATAATATGTCACTACATAGGCGGAAGTGGCCAATCTTGGTTCGATACATAAATAACCAAGGCAGAGGCTATAGACCCAGTCACTATCATTACACAACAGGCGGAGTACACCATTCAAGGGATGTGGCTACCACTCCCATTGGCAGCAAGTAGTGTCTTTCGACCACTTTGTTTATTTTGCTGTGGTTTTTAATTAGAAGTCCCAAATAACTGCCTATGTGGTTTCAATGACTTCATTTAGGTGATTAGAAACTGGAAATTGCACGGAACCAGAATAAGCGACATCGGCAGATGCCACCTTAGCTATATTTCCCTTGGTTCTTTCCAGCTGCTGGCTGAAGTCCAACTGCAATCAACACTATTATCTGCCTCAGTAAAAAATACAGAATGATAATACATAAATAGAAATCACACTGTTCTAGCCGCACTTTATACAAGGCTCGAAGCACACTTTCCTGCAAAGCAGAGATATCTATCCACTGTGAATCAGCATATGATATGCACACTAACTTGGAAAACACAAAAAGGAAGAAATCATGCACTTAACTGATACCTGCCTCGTGAATTACCAGCATTGTAAATGTAATATGAGCACAATAAACTGAAAAAAAGAACCCTTCTATTAGTCGTATAACATTGCCTAAAAGGGCTTCTACATTCATGTGCTGCACATCTCACACGAAATGAGAGATCAAGCTACCGTCCATGCCGAATACATTTTCGGTCTCTGAAACTTGAGCCTGCACCCAGCAGCCACAGGTTTCAAGTCCCATTATGTCTTTGGTGTTAGGTTTTTTTTTCTAGTTTCGTGCAATGTGGTTACGGACACCGGCGGCGGTGGCGGACAACTGCACGTGACCCAAGTTGTGATCTCATAACAGCTTTCGCTGTAAAAAAAACTACATTCACAGCCCACTCCCCTTCTTAAATCAACCTAGCAACAATAGCGTTGTGTTTCTGTAGGACACCTAACACTAGCACATTAGTGGAATCAAAAACTCGTCTATTAACCAGAATTTGTTAATAGCACTTCAGTTCGCATCCAGGCTATGCACTACAGAAAATGTATCGATACAGCATTATGTTGGCTGATTTGCAATTGCCCTTAATTTTAGTGGCAGTAAGAAGGCAAGATATTGCACATATTTGCAATATACTCGACATTACATATTTTATACATTACAGGTGCATATAAATTGTAGGCCAAATGTACAGGCCCTTCCCTATGAAATGTAGCATATTAAAAATAATTCTGAGTCATTACTGAGACAAAATTTCACATCATCGTCGAGCAAAGCAATCATTGTCTAAGGAAGGCATTGTTCGAAAACTATAGCTGCAACAAAGATGTCTTCGGAAAATGATGATATGAGCCAGGTCACTTATCACCAGACCATCAGGAGCCAGATGGACTGTGCCACTGTGTGAAACGCTGAACAGCCCGACACCACTCATTAAAGAGAGCTTGGCAGGAGGTCTTCTGTTCATCCCTAGGCTTGAAAACAATACCCTTAGGCTGCAGATGCCGCAAATCTTCCAAGTCTTTCCAGAATCCTGCATATACAGAAACAGTGTCAGCTGTGCTTTGGCATATATATAGTCCAACAAAGTTACTACGTTTATCGAAATAAACTAAGTTGCAAGTTTCTTCTATGTTGCCTTTCTTTCCTTCCAAGCCCCCGCTCTTCTATGCCAACTGTCAAACCAAATAGCCCAACGATTCACTATTTTGGAACTTTAATATTGTTACGGTTAAATTGAGTATAAATATCTGTTTATTTACAGGTGACATCAGGCAATCATCAGTGATGATGGCGAACAGAGGCCAGACCAACCAACTTCCTCTTCCTCTACCTTCATCCCAAACCATGGCCCAGCTCATACTGTATCATTTCCCGGTTGGAGTCCAAGGTAAGTATGTGCTTGGGAACTGTAACAAGTCTACCGTTGGTTAAGCAAAGAAAGGCCATGCTTGAAAAATCATTCGGAACATCCCTTTCCACTGGCTGGCACTGCGTTGGAATACCATGAAACAGCCAAGCATGTTCTTAGCATGGCAGCCAAGCATTTTGGCAATGCAATTTCTGGCTCACTTATTTTAAACTTTTCTCATGGCTACGATTAGATGCCCAGCTACTTTTTTCTAAATTTTTGCATGCCCCCTTACCCACCCACTGAGATGTAGCAAGACAAATATTTTTGGTGCAGTCAGGTTTATTTTACACATTACATATAGAAGGTAAAATGCCATTTTTCCGTTTCCCGAACTCTTGACATTCTTAAGTGCTGTTTGGGCTTCTCTAGAAGTCATCTATCGTAGTTGCATGCCATTCTTGCATAGGTGAACCTTTTTGATTTGAGGTAAACACGAGCTATTCTTCTGTTCATCCGACACAGCTGCATCAGTTATGTTGAACGTATGTGTTGTATGTGTCATCTGGAAAATGAGAGAAAAAACATCATGAGGTCTTCTTCTTTAATAAGCCATCTTTTAGGCAACCACTTTCACCTATTTTCAACTAAACACACAATAGTAACATTTCTTGGCAACTCATTATTTAGGATGACAGCACTTGCACAGACAGGAAGAAAATACTTGTTGGACTGCATGATGCATTTTTATTACTGAAGTAGCGTGAATAGTCGTGAGAGATCTCCATCAATACGAAAAACTGAAGAAAACAATTCTTTTTCAAAATTCTTTGAAATTCTTTTTCAAAATTTGAAAAAAAAAAGGTAATTTTTTACTGAGAGCAATATGGAAGTGGCATTGGCACAAAAGCACTGTTTAGTGTCCTTGTTTTAAAGATGATAGTCTTTCTTGGGGACATTCGACGCAAAAACTTTGGTCTGTCTGTCTATCTGTCTGTCTGTACATTTGTCTGTTTGTCCACTGTTACCACGAATCGGTTACTTTAAACAGCACCAGCCGATACTCCGAATGGCCGACTGCATCCGCAGCGCCCACATATGTTGCTCAAGAATCAGCATTCATACATGTGCGATTGTCAATTAAAAAGCAATTATTGTGCATATCTGACGCACCATAACAACACGTATATATTATGCATCTTCATCTTCTACTAGAACAGGCATACATAAGTAATTCTAAGGACTGTGGCGTTTATCACACTGCGCTGACCATGCAACGCTTTGCTAAGAAGACATGGCGGCAGCCCCTACCTGTCGCCTTGCGTTCTACACCTTATCACCCCTGAGACGGGCGTGTACGCCCGTCTCAGGGCCACGCTGCTTTTTTCTAAAAAGAACTGCCAGATGGCGCTCATGTCTCCCGTGTGACGTGACTTGATGCGCTCGTTCGCCTCCGCTGTATGCTCGAGGCACTCTAACGCAGCGCCTCCAGAATATCATTCACCTGATTTTCTTGCGCAGAACATGAAATATATGTTTTTCTCACTCTCTCCACACGCAAGACTATCGTCTTTCGACGGCGTTTGCAGATTACATGCAGATACGGGGCCAATTTTTTTCTTGTATGTACGTACCTTTTTATTTATAAACATTACTGAGGTAGTAAATGCACCTTTATTTACGAAGATTACTTTTGTCGTGTAGTGTGGGTTGTGATAGCTTTATTTTATTTCTATGCTCATTATTCAGCAGTCCTGCCGCTTAGCCGTGCACAGCCTACTGTTTCAACGATGAAATTGGTTATGTGCTCTGGTTCTCAGCTCCCACAAATCGGGAAGCTGATAGAACAGAAAATAAGATTAGACAACACTGAAGTGGTGAACATATGGTGCCAGTGAAGCTGTTCAAATGCTCAATCTTGCTTCAGGTGGCAGAAGTTGGCTTTTTTCAGGAAGGCAGCATATATAAACTGAAAGAAAAATTGTAGTACATAGTAGGTCAAGTTTTCAAGCAAGCATCAGCGATGCAGTATGTGCAATATTCTGGTCCTAGTGAAACATTTTCTAAAGAACAGCATAAAAAAGTCCACATAACAAAAAGTCACGAGGATGTTGCCAATACAAGCTAAAGCAAGAAACCAATTCATTTGTTTACTGTTGATGTTCCCCAAGCAGAATCAGCAGCACATTTACAGGCTTTTGAATGAAAAATTGTTCTCAATGACCCAGCAGTACTTCTTTCTAACTAAATTAGTACAATATGATTTAGCTTCCTGTGCACAGTGTATTCAGCACTGCTGCCATTTTATCAGAATAAATAGCTGACCTGTAACAAAAATGCAATACATAAAGCAGGAAATTGATAAACGAAACACTTGTTTAAAAGCTTTGAAAATGTCTCTACTATATGCAGTGGTAGTGGCGCCAATAGAAAGATCATCTTGCCATAACGAAACAACATCAGTTCATCAAAATATTCATTGCACATTTTACAAAGTACTTGTAGGACTGGCTAAACTATGCCTTTGCTGTAGAAAATTGTGATTAAAATTCAGATGACCCAGTAAGTATTTAGACCCGAATATTTCTTATAAACAGCATTTTTGGTATGAATTTCATAAAGTTTCTGTTGGATAATTTGAAAACTTGTGTGTTTTTGTGTAATTTATAAATAGTCTGACAAATGGCAATCACTCCATGCAAGAAAACAAAACAGATATACGTTACTGATAAAACATATAGCTAATGATAGATCATTTACGGCAGAATAAACAATGAAAGTTTTGAAGAAATTTATTACATTCAAAACAGCATGGCTTGCCAACGTTGTGTACTTATTGACTAACCACAACTTTCAAACTGCGCTAACATCTGAAGCTTTTGACAAATGAAATCCCCAAATTGCTAAAGATAGCATCATAATATTTTTTTTTCAAATGTAGAAATCTACTAAATTAGAACCAACAATACCAAAAAAACTTACTGCATCAAAGCTTTATGAAAAAAAAATACAGGCGCAGCTGAGTTTGGATGGTAGATGACCCCATGACTTTCTCGCATTTGGCACCAGTCTTCATATCTATTTTACCTTTTAAGTATCAGTACACGCACAAGTTCATAATTTTGAAATAATTAATAAAGCACTGGCATCGACCCTGAATCGCAGAACGCGTTAGCAAGATGCACTCGTCGTCAACAACAGGCCGTCTCGCCAAAAGGGAACAAGACATGGCCACACACCACGCGTCAACATATACAACCGGCAGCTGGGTAACTGTCCTTCAGACCGGGTCGTTTCAGTTAATTTCAAGTTTTTCCTGAAGACAGTGTATCGCTCATTAAAAAAAAAATATGCCGAATTAAATCGGTGCTCGGACACTGTACTGAAGAACATTTCAAATATGTCTAGTTTTTACTTGTAAAAAGAGAATACTATGCCATGCGCAATCTTGCCAAGACGAGCTAGGACTACACCTAGGACTGCCTAGTGCCCACTTCCAACACATGCACTATCATCGCCGCAGTAAATCTGACTGCCAACTCGCATAAGGCACAGAGGGAACAAGGGCAAATACAGGTACTGCTGATATTTACTCTTCTCTATTTCAACTTGAATAGAAAGCTCGTTGCTGCATGGCTGTGAGTGTGACTGCCGTGACACCCATCCAACGTGCGAACAAGGCGGAGACAGCGTGCAATCATACACGTGATGGTATGTGGAAGCGAGCATAAACGGTGCATGCGTGTATACTGAACTACAGCTTCATGAATTGCAATAATTTTGATGACTTTTGTACTAATACGTAAGAGCTTTACAGCTGTTACAGTTTGTGGGCTTCTGAGAATCGCCTGTCTGGATACTTTGGTGAGCTACTTTTCTTGAGTGCAGTAGGGCTGAGCACGGGCCAAACTGCATGCTCCTCGGTAAAAAGTGAGAAATTTAAACGCCACACTGTGCACTTGCTGGTATACTTCTGGTCCTTCGGATGAAAAGAAAACAAAGAGGTATTCCATCAAGGAGGCAGTGCAAACAGAATTAGTGACCGGAATAAATGATCGTCAGAGGCTTATTGGTAGCTGTTCATCTGACTTCCCGACAAACTGCACCAAAGAATCAAACAGACACATCCGCTATAACCACTTCACTTTCTTATTGCTTGTACGTGGCCGCGTGCAACGAATTTCTGTCGAATAGTATATAATACACCAAAGTAAGTACCGTATTTACTCTATTCTACCGCGCCCTCGATTGTAACGCGCACCCAATTTCCACGACGAAAACAAAAAAACATCAATTGCAATGCGTACCCATTTTTTTCGCTGGACCGCACGATCACACCACTCGAAAAAAGGACTCCTTTCGGGAGCATCTTCCATTAATATGAGGTAGGGGGGAAGCTTGTGCCCACATTGACGTGTAACAGAGCATTGCCATCACTGTAGTTTTACCGTGAACAGATGTCAGCATGTGAACTTGCTTCGCACCCTTCTTCTCGAAGGTTGTGGTGCCAGGCATGTCGAAGTAAACAGGCGTCTAATCGGCATTCCCGATTTGCTCATGCAGGTAGCTGTTCTTGTGCTGCAAGTTTAAGATGAACTTCTGAAAACTGTGCAGCTTTTCATTGCACTCCTCCGTAAAACTTTTTGCAGATGCCCGTTCATCTTCGGAGGAAAAAGCCTTTC